CGTAATTGTGGTTTCGTCGTCCTTTGAGGAGCATAAGCGGCACCTAGAAATGGTATTGAAAAGAATTCTAGGTGCGGGCCTAACCATCAACAAAGCCAAAAGTCACTTCTGTAAGACGGAAGTCAGGTACTTGGGAGTTCTTGTGAACCAGGACGGAGTAAGACCAGATCCCGAGAAAATACGCCCGATATTAGAATATCCAACACTCCGGACTGTCAAACAGGTGAAGCGATTCATGGGAATGACCTCGTGGTATAGACGTTTTATACCCGACTTTGCCATGATCGCTGAACCGCCTGACAAAGAAGAATGTACGTTTCTCTTGGGAGGAGGAGCAAGAGCGAGCTTTCACGAGATTGCAGGAGGCGATGACTTCCGCCCCAATACTGCAATCACCCGATCCGAACGGTCAGTTTGTATTGCAAACTGATGCCAGTGATAGTGGGATCGGGGCGGTTCTCGCACAGGATGTCGATGGAGTGGAGCGCGTAATAGAATACGCCAGCCGATCACTCAACAGTGCTGAGAGAAATTATACGGTCTCCGAGAAAGAGTGCTTGGCAGTAGTATGGGCCATTGGAAAGTTCCGGTCGTATATTGAAGGGCATCACTTCAGGGTCGTCACCGATCATAGTTGCCTGAAATGGCTCCACAATATGAGAAATCCCACTGGAAGATTAGCGCGATGGGCGCTAGCATTGCAAGGTAATGTCTTCGATATCGAATATCGAAGGGGGATCTCAATGTGGTGCCAGACGCTTTATCTAGGGCCTATGAGGAGGAGGGGATTGAAGTGAGTGCTATAAATAGTCGGCCGGAGACCACTGACGGCTGGTATTTGCAACAATACCAGGAAGTATGCCAGGATCCACACTCTTACCCCACTTGGAAGGTGGTGGGAGGGAGACTGTATCATTATCAGCCTGATGAGGATGGTGAAGGGTCCATCGACAACGATGAAGCGTGGAAGCTTGCGGTACCTAGGGAGAAAAGGTACCAGGTGCTCCAGGAAGTCCATGATGCTCCTACAGCAGGACATCAAGGACGAGAGCGTACGTTCTCCAGGGCTAGGCGCTTGTACTACTGGCCTAAAATGTATGATCAGGTCAGGGAGTACGTAAAGAGTTGCCCGGTATGTCAGCAGTGCAAGGTGGAACAAAGAGCACCTTGCGGACTGATGGGTCGTAGACAAGTGTCACGACCCTGGCAGGTGGTGGCCGGTGATATCACTGGTCCATTTCCCAAAAGCTCTCGAGGTTTTGAGTATATCCTAGTCTTTGTAGACTTGTTTACTCGCTGGGTAGAGTGCATTGCAATACGCAAAGCCAATGGGAAGACAATCGCAAGGGAATTACACGAGAGGATTGCCACTAGGTTTGGCGCGCCAGAAGTATTCTTATCGGATAATGGAACCGAGTTTAAGAATCAGGAGGTTGATTCATACCTCCAGATGAACGGCATCCAGCGCGTCTTAACTCCCGTGTATCATCCCCAAGCGAATCCCACAGAGCGAGTAAACAGGACACTCAAAACCATGATCACGTCTTATGTAAGCCGTGATCACAAGAGCTGGGATGAACACCTGTCAGAGTTCAACTTCGCGTTGAACTCGGCAACTCATAGCGCCACCGGATATAGTCCTGCGATGCTCATGTTTGGGCGTCAGCCAGTACCCCCTTTGACGTTCAGAAGAGCCCAAGATCAGCAAGCCCTTGAATGTTCGGAGGGTCAAGCTGTAGAAGATTGGGCCGAACATATGGGGAAGCTTCCTAATTTATGGGAGAGGGCTAACTCCAAGTCAAAGGAGGAAGCTGCGCGTCAGGCGGCTTATTATGACCGGAAGAGACGGCAACCCGAGTTTAAGGTCGGAGATTGGGTTTGGAAGAGGAACAGGATTCTATCTTCAGCTGCTCAAGGTATTTCAGCTAAATTAGCGCCGAAATATGCCGGTCCGTACGTGATTGAAGAGGTTTGTGGTTCCAACACGTACAGGCTAGGCAATCAGCTGGAGATCCTGTCTGAGCTCTTCCATGCCAAAGACCTTAAACCATATTACGGCCCGGGTGAGGATGAGGAAAGCGAGGAGGTCATCGAACCTCGCGAGCCGCCAGAAGAACTGCCGTCGAAGGATGCGAACGATTCCGCGAATACGCGCGAAAATCCGGGAGGGGATTTATCAGATAGCGAGCGGGTCCAGTTAGCAGCCCCCACGGTCGTAGATAAAGTTCCCACCGAGACGTCGGAGTTACCGGTATCTGCCCCAACTAAGAGAGGTCGAGGTCGACCTCGAAAGGTTCCAGAGACGGTCACCGGTCCAGCGAGGGGCAACAACTCTCCCGTGAAGGTGAATAGAGGGAGAGGTAGGCCTCGAAGGACCGTGCCCGTCGTACAAAGGACGGTTGGGCCGATAAAACCGAGCGGTAACCGACGAGGGCCAGGACGTTCCCACAAAGAATCGCGAGGGAGCGTATAACTCGGTGGGATGCGGCTATTATTAGGATTGTTTCTTCGCGCAGGGAGATTCATCCGAAATTTGTTGTTTTTTGGATGTTTCAGATGGACCGGAGAATCGTCGTCGAAGAGGAGATCTTCGAGGTGGTCACGCAGATGCTGTTAGATCTGCAACTGGGCTCTGATGCGACGCGGCTAATTGAAGATCTGCGGAGCTTCGCCAGGGTCCAGTTGGAAGGGACCACCCGAAGGGATCGGCGTAATGCCTCGGTGGCAGAGGTTCTCCGGGATTCGTCGTGGGTCGCCCCGAAGAAGGCTTCTCGGGAAGCTTCGACACAGACCGAGGACCAGGACAGTGTCGAACGTCCCAAGTCTACAATGGACCAGGGGGTGCAGACCCTCAAGTCCGGCGTAACCCTTACGTCGGACAGTGCGAGCCAATGCCCAGGACCCAGGGAAACCTGTGGGGCCTCGCACTGGGTCTGCAATCATCCCCGGATCCCTGAGCAGCCTACTCTCCTCCTCGACTTCAGACACGTGCGTCTGGGGATCAACGAGGTGGGGAGTGCCTGGCGGTTCGCTCAAGAACTCCAGTCTCAGGTGCAGGAGCACCTGAGACGCTTTTTGAGCCGCCAGGGCGCAGAAGAGTTGCTCGGGGTGTGGGCAGGGATGGCTCGGCGTCAGAGGGCCTATGGAGAGGCCCTGCTGCGGGTGGATAACGGAGAAGAGTCCTCCGCAGCGCTCCCGGCGCCGGCTCAAGAGAAGAGAGCCCCGGGAGCTACTGACGCTGGACCGACGCTCACGGTCCATGTGGACGGGCGCATGGCTCCTGATACCACCATCGTGGTTAGGTCGCAGGATGGACGTGCGACCGCCACGGTGGGAGGCGTAACCATCGTCGCCTCACAGGGAGTCAGTGCCCAGCAGTCCCCTCTGGCTGCTGAGCAGCCATCACGAGGACGGGAGGCTGCTCAATCTCGGTCGCAGCTAAGGGGCTGCTACGTCTGTGGAGAGCCTGGGGTGACCAACTCCCAGCGGTGCCCGAAGAAGGCTACACACTGGCGCTACCCGAAACATCGCGCGCCAGGTGTAGCCAAACAATGATGTAGGCCCTGGAGGGCAAATAAATTAGCCGAAATAAAGAAGGGAGTGTTTATTTTGTTTCCTTTCCTTCTTTATTACTTTCAGGTTCCTGATGGCAGCGAATCGCGGGTATTCGTCCTGCCCGGGTAGTCAGGACTTGGAGGGGGCTGCAACGGTAGTCGATTCAATTAATCGCACCGTTCGCGATTCTGAATTTCGCGCGTTAGTTCTAAGTATAGAGAGAGAGGGGGCGCGCGATCTTTTAAATTAGCAGTTACGCCTCAGCTGTTGATACGAGAGGATATCGCCGGAATTTTATTTGCACTGTTTTCTTGCCGAGTGATAGTTTTTCCAGAGTAATTACGCGCGCGAGTGCAACAACGTGATCGGCAGATTACAGCATCACGGTAGCAGCATATTTGCAGCTGATAGGCGGTACGAGTCAGCGCAGCTGATATAACAGTTCCGGAGGCAGTTGATACATTTTATTGGCATCAACAATTACGGCTGATCACCGTAATTGCACCGCAGGGTAGGTGCACCTCCCTTTACTATCGCGTGTCAAAATATATTTATTATTTTGCTCAGCCGCGTTAGCGTTGATAATCTTGTATTCGCGCCGAGCGTTAGATCGCGCCAATATTCGAATCTTCTCTCTCTCTCTTTCTCACCGGAAAATTATTTAATGGTAAATCCTATTCGCGTGCGTCAGTCTTTCGGCCCGACAAAGACTGTATAGATTTTTTATGAATAAACTTTGTCAACTTATTCGCCGATTTCGTCATATGATTTTCCTAATAGTTTAAGAAATTGAAATAGGCTTAGGTGTTAATCCTATTACGCCTAGGGGATTAAGCGGAGAAGGAGTAAAGTCGCTCACACTTCAAACTCATCGAGTGTCACGATACATGTGACTTAAGGTGAGTTCAACTCCGTTTGATAGAAGACAACAAAGAGAAATCATCTGACGTTAAAGCGAAGACACGTACTTACATACGTGATTAACGGAGCGGCGGTTTGCTCTGCATCGTGGGAGTTTGCTTATAAATAAATTTCCCATTTTTTGCAAGGATTCCCCCCCCCCCGTTACAATACCTGTAATTATTTTATTCTAGACTTCATGATTATTTTTATTGCAGAATGAATTAGATATCAAAGACTTTTGACTCGCAACAGTATTAATTTACTCTGAAATGTTTTACCAAGTATTGCATAAGATCACGTTCAATTCAATAAATGAACGAAATCATTTTGGAGGTATAGATTTTTAAATAATATTACCCGAAAGAAATCGAAAAATAAAATTAGATATATACACGAATACACTTAGTTTATTACTAATGCAGAAGCTTCTCTTGTATTAAAATCCGTCAAAGTATGTCATGCATTATATTTGATTCATTTTCATAAGAATTCATATTTTAATTATTATATTTATTATAAATAAAAATTACTTTTCATTATGATATCAAATCAATAAAGATTAAATGATCAGGGTAAATTTTTATTTTGATTCCAGCATTCAATTTCTTATCAATGACTAGATATATTTTAATGAATAATTGCAAGTAGGTCTAAATGATCGGAAAGAGTCAAATAATTTTGAATGTTTACATTAATTTTTATTCTTTAATTTTTCTCTGTTGTGTAATATTAGAAATTATAATCAGTGGTGTGAGGAATATCCCAAAAATAAATCACAACTACAAAACTTCCAAACTAATTATTCAACGTTTCGCCATTTTGTTCAGGGCCTCTTCAGGAATACTTTATTATAAAAATTATACAAAATTAATTGATACATTCAAATTATCAAATTATTAAATATCAAACAATAAATTACCAACAGTTGCACTCACAATTTTAAAATGCTTTCTAAATTTTAAATAGTCTTAAACCGATAAAATTCATCAAAAAAAATTTGTTCATTTATATAATCTCATTGTGCACATCTAATAAATAGTAGCCTTTTTTATAATCGGATTAACTTGAAATTTTGACGGCATTACTACTTATATTTCAGTCATTTCTAAATCATGCATCGTGGTACACATAATTTACTATAATTTTCCCAATTGACAATTTCAGTTTCACTGAAAGAAAATTTATTTTGACAATGTTTAGAAAGCATTTTGAAATTGTGAGTGCAACTGTTGATAATTTATTGTTTGATATTTAATAATTTGATAATTTAAATGTATCAATTATCACACCATCGATTATAATTAATAATATTACATTAATTTTTAATAAGCTAATAGTTCGTCTATTTTTATAGAAAAAATTTGTGTTCATAATATATCTAATCATGATTAATATTAACTATTAATATTGATGCACATTATTTAAGATCTAGTTGAATTTCTTAAATCATCTATGATTGTTCTACTTCGGCATTTATGGAATACATGCACAAGAGAGCCATAGATTCTTGAGCATGTCTTTTTTTTGCGAGAAATCTGCTTGATGCTTCTTTCAATTGCTCCAGGAAAGATCTGAAAAAACAAATTAATATATTATTATATTTGGTTCAATAAACCAAAAGTTATAAAAAAATGTTTGATTGTGTAACGAGCAATAAAGTTGTGACGAGAGCAGTCCGCGTGCCGGTCTCTCGTCCGCGTTTCTCCCTCCCCCACTCGGCTAGGCGTGGTAGACAACGTTGGGCGCATTTAAGTATGCGTCTAACACTTGGCCTTTTGTTTCAGCGCCAAGGACGAGCCAGCGCAGTTGAGCGCAAGAAAAGTTGAAGAGCGCGGAGAGAGAGTGAGAAAGAGAGAGAGAGAGAGAGTATTAGGCCCATGCAGGGATTGGCAGGCGCGTAACGCGTGACCGATAAGCGACGCGTCGCATGCCGCCTAACTAATAGGTCAAGGTAGGGAGAGGAGCGAGCGCCGCTGAGCGGCTGCAAGATGCGCGCAAGAATTAGTGCGTGAGAGAGTCGCAGCCGAGTCTTACGAGAGTGAGGGAGTCTAAGCCTAGTCCTGTTAGAGTGCGGAAGTCCGAGCCCAGCAGAGAGAGCAGTTTGGGATAGCCGGAAGGAAGTAAGATCAACCCTACCGGCAACGGCTTTGCCAGCAACTGCAGCCAGCCCACCTGCTAGTAGAGTCAACGACGCCTACGGATACCTGGTCAGCGACAGCGGTTAGCGACGATCTGACCAGCGACGACACCCGGTACTTCCTGCGGCAGCGCATCGCTCAGGATTCCCGACGTTGCGAGGAACAGGAGATAAAAGGTCAAGCCTTCCTTTTCTTCTTTCTCTCTACACTCTCTCTCTCTCTCTCTCTCTCTGTTGATGCGACGGCCGGTGTACGTTGAAAGAGATAGCCTGGCACTCACGTGCCGGCTATCTGAAGGTTCGCGCTAGGTTTAATTCATAGTGACGTAAGTTGCGACCGGTGAATTGTCCAGGCGCCCACGTGCCGGGCAATTTACCCGGTATTAGTCCGCGTAGTTTTTAAGTAAGTTTGTAATAGGTTAAGTATGCGATTTGGTATTAGGATAAAATGCGAAATGTTCATTTGTGATTATCTTAAGTAGTTTATTGTTCGATTTGTAGTTTGTTGGTCGGTAATTTAGATTATGTTATGCGCGCGTATGTTCTGTGTGAATAATTATTAATAATAATAGGTTGTAAGTGAGATTTGATTCTTGTCTGTGTATAATTTATTTATCAACCTCCCCTCGTACTTCTCTCTCAATTGTCATGAGCGAAAGTGCCTCACTTACCCCGCAAAAGAATTGGTAACAAAGGATTGAGTTTTGTTACATGGCATCCCTTGTGAGTCTGGCAATTGGGAGATAAATGAGAGAAATGGTTTGATAATGAATTTTAGAAATAACGATTAACTGATTTTCTTTGTGAACTAAGGGCAAAGAGTGCGCGTAAAAGAATTTCGAGTTCTCGGTATTTTGAATTCCTTGTTAGTGCTTGCCAGTGACCTTTCTTAATAGCGGTGTCGGATGACAACGGTGCGTCATTGAGTCGCTTTGACGCTAGACGACTGCGTTCTTTCCTCGCTTTAGTTTTTCTTTGTTTTAAGAATTTTACTAGACTGCCTATTCAAAAATTACGGTAAGTAAATTTTGATAAATCATAATTTCTTTCTATAGGCGTTAGCAAGGCGATTTCTTGCCGGCTTATAGTTTGGAAAGAAATTAGTCAGTAAAGTATCAGGTTACACGGACCGGTCGAGACTTGCTTTGCCCCATAAGCTCGCGTCGTAGTCAAGTTACGGATTTTCACTTGTAGAAATAAGAATGTCGCTAGCGTGTAGAGATAAAATAGTCTTGCGCAGAATATTACGCGATGCGCATGCGAAAAAATTAAAACGCAAAATTGATTCCACAGAACCGGCTGTTCTGTTGGAATTAATGCGCTATCGCGAGCTTAGTCTACACGGCGATCTTGAAGAATTACAAACCCGGTACTTTCGATATATGCTGTTAAGAGAGCGGCCAGATTTGCAGCCACCGTTGCGCTCGAGCGATTCTGCGTCAGGCCGAATCCCGGAAAAGCTGTATGACGAACAGCAAGAAACAACGGTAAGCAGTGCGCGGAACGCGAACCTGGGCGATGAATTCGCGGTAGCTGCAGCACCTTTGGCGGCCGAATTATCATGTGAGCAAGAGCAGGCGACACAGGCAAGAGCAAGTGTTGCCGCTCCTTGCGAACAAGTTCGACCGCCGGGCGAAAATGCAGTCGCGGTCGGTGATAACGACATGTTACCGATGGCGAATCGCTCGCCGTCGGACAACAGGACCGAACGCGCACGCGAACAAATCGCGGAAAACCAAGGCGAGCGTAGCACTAGCGCGATAAGCCAAATCTGGGGAGCTTTAACTGCTGTTCCGCGTTGGATTTATAGGCGCGAGGTTAGACAGGGCATCACGGATGGTGCGAATGCAGTTTTTAGAGTTGAAAGAGAGGCGATGCACAGTAGAGCGGCTCAGGCCGAACAGCAGGCTTCATTGCCGCCTCAGGCCAAGCCGCTCGGCGACCGCGAGACGCTAAACGCGCCAGCGGTTGCGACTGAGCCATCGGCCCACGCGAACGCACCAAACAATAGAGCAGATAGTACATTCCTCTATGCCGATTCAAATAGATCGGCGAGCACGAAATATCACGCGCCTAGAGTAAGTTCATGGGTTGAAGACTGGGAGCGCGAGGTACGGGTAGCTACTAGAGAGGAAATGGAAATACCAGCTCCATTAGGTGAAGGTTCGATTGTTAGCGAGAAAAGTGTAATGAGCATAAGGCGACCTAAACAAAAACAGGTGAGACAGGTAGAAAATATTAGTGGAAGCGACACTAGCTCGAGTCTATCGGATACTGATAGCTGCAACACCTATAAAGTTAAATCGCCGCGGAAAACTGAGCAAGTAAGAGCGGAAAGACCGAGCAAAAAGAGTGCTCCTCCAAGAATCAAGTATATAAATGGTATACCTGCGGATGGAGTAAGCGCGCTCAATGCCTGGTCTCTCCGTTTTTCCGGTAAGGATAGTACAAACGCACTAAGTTTTCTATCAGGTTTGAGTGATTGCCAGCGCTATTATGGCATCTCGGACGAAGAAATGCTGATAGCAATAGGCAGAGCATTCCGCGATAAGGCGCGTCCGTGGTACGAGGTTAATCGCGGTAAGTGGAGGACGCTGAAAGACTTTAAAAAGAGTTTTTCTAGCGAATTCTGTCGACGATTGAACAGAGAACAACTTTACGGTGAATTGCGTCAAAGAACACAGGGCGAGAACGAGAACATTACGGACTATGTCGCGGCTTTTCAGACGATTTTACGCCGTTTTGATCCGCCCGTTTCGGTGAGACGCCAGTTAGCTATGATCATAGAGGGTCTACATCCAAGATATAAGCGATATCTTGAAACTAAGACCTTCTCAGATCTAAATAGTTTTAAAGAAGCGGGTATGGCACTCGAAGATCGCATGGCCGGTTGGAAAAGGTGGCAAAAGCCGCCCACGGCTGACGTAACGCTAATTCCGGAATCCGCGTACACAGAGACGAAGAAGTCACCCGGTAAGCAAAAATCGGTCGAAACCATTGACGGTTTAAACGACGCGATTGACGAGGTCTTAATAGTCGAATCTCCTAAAAAGAAAGCGCAGCAGCAGAACAAAAAACTAGGTAAAAAGGGCAAGAAGCAGAACGGTGAAATTGCCGTTGCTATTGCCGATAGGCAACAGCCACAGGCGAGAAACCAGCCTGCGAACGAAGCCGCGCCTGCTCGTCAGAGCGCGCAGGCTTCGTTGGCCCCGGCTGCAGGTGTAGCCCCTAGTCTGGTCCCGCATCAGCGCAATCAGGGAGGTAGCAACTTAAATAGACCATTCACGGGGGCTTGCTTCAATTGTAACGCGGTGGGACATAGGAGGGCGCAATGCCCGATAGCTCAGGTTAATCCGCGAGTAGTTTGTTATAAATGCCGACAACCGGGGCATTACGCTAATAACTGTCCAACGCGAACTTCAGAGTCGACATTATATTGTCAGGTTTGTGGGACAATCGGTTACGTGTTTAGAGAATGCCCTCCTTGTAATCAGGTGAAGCAGGGAAACCTCAGCGCGGGAGCCGTCGACCGCTCGACGACTCCTGCCTAAGATGGATTGAGCGGGCCATTGAGGTAGAGAAAGTGCTTCGTGCAAGGAGCGAAAGCACCGTAGAAGAAGGTAATAGAGTTGAGGTAAAAAGGGAAGGCGAGAACAAGGCAGAAACCGCCAGTTCTGCGCCTCCTTTTATGAATTCAGTAAAAGAGGAAGGCGAGAACAAGGCAGGAACTGCCAGTTCTGCGTCACCTTTCTTAGACGAGGTAATAGGAGAATATTTGAAAGTCAAGGCTAAGGTCAGGCGTGCACTATTTGTAGAATATGAGCATCCGGAAAAAGGGAGTAAGGAAATCGTTGAGTTCAAAAACGTGTTTAAAGGCGAGTTTAGTCGTTCGACATTGAAAGAAGTTCAGAGGCAGAGTGACGAGGGCGTAAGTTTCCGTAGTAAGATCAGCAATGAACCCGAAGAGGCAAATAAACGTGACTCGTTACAGCAGGACGCGGAAAGTCTTCAAAAAGATCGACACACTATCGCGCGAAAAACTTTGCCCGATAAGGATATGCATGATCCGATAGGGTTTAATAAATTTTGCGCGATAGCTAGCTCGCCTGAGAAGTGCCCAGCGAGACAAAATGAGTTGCCATCGTCGAGCACGAACACGAATGAGGCAGGTTCAAGTATTTCGCCCACGGTTGGGCAGGCTTCGGAAAAGGCCGTTGCTTTAGGAAATCAGGGTGAACCTGTGAAAGAATCAGTTGGTAAGGAAGCGAGCTCAGGCGCTGCGCTCCCGTCGGAGCGGGCTGCGACAAAGGTCATGGTCACGCGCGATAGGAGTGAGCTTGTTGATACTAGGGTTTTGTTGTTTGGACGTTCGGTCGTCGGTGCCGACGCACCTTCCGTTTTAGTGAGGGGAGGGTCTGAGTGGAACTCAGAAAT